GGTTGGCGCAGGATAGAGCAGGGTTTAGGGCTGTTGTGCATAGGGTCGCTATGAGTCGGAAACAACTCGACGGCACATAACAACAACAATATATAGGTTGTTGTTACTGATTGCCTTCAAGTTGAGCACGACTCATAGGGACCATATGAACAAAAGCCCCTCTACAACTACCGACAATTATCAAAGTTCATAGAGTTTCTGAAGGCATGTTGTTCAGGAAGTGGATACCACTCTTGCTCCCAAAATATATATACACACACATATATGCGCAAGCATGTGCGCGCGCGCGCACACACACACACACTTTTATTAGGTCAATCTGTCAGGACCTCTCCATAATACTGAGAAGCAATGATGTCAATCTGGAGGCTAAGGTGCACCTGATTCAGTCCATGGTCTTTGCAATCACTTGTTATGCATCAGAGAGCTGGACAATGACTAAGGATGTCAGAAGAATCGATGCTTTTGAGTTGTGATGCTGGAGAAGAGTCTTGAACATACCACGGACTGCCAAGAAAACAAATAGGTCTGTCTTGGAGAGGGTAAAACGAAGTTTCTCTGAAGAGGGTAGGATTTTAAAGCTCCATCTCACATACTCTGGGCACGTGGCCAGGAGGGACCAGTACTTGGAGGATATCATGCTCCAAGGGTAGAGGAGCAGCACAGGAGAGGAAGACCTCGGATGAGATGGATTGATACAGTAACTCTGGCAGTGAGGGTAGATGTTTCAGAGTCAGGAAGACTTGCTCAGGACAGAGAACCTTCAGAGCTGTTGTACATAGTCATTAAGAGTTGCAGATGACTTGATGACACATAACAAAATTTACATATATATATATATATATTATATACACACACACACACACACATATATATATACATACACATACGTATACATGTATATGGACTCTGGTGGCCTAGTGGCAAAAAGTTACGCTGCAATCCCAGAGGCACAGGGTTCGAATCCACCAGCTACTCCATGGAAGAAGGATGGACAATCTCCTCCAGTGCAATTAATACTGCCTCTGAAAACCCACCTTTAGGTCAGCTATGGGTTCAAACTTGAAAGTACACAACAAACAACATAAAAAATACATATATGAGAGAGCTGAAGGCCTAGTGGTAAGGCACTGTGCTGCCAACCCTAGGCAGATAGGTAGAATCCACTAGCTGCTCTGTGGGAAAAGAAGGGCAATCTTCTTCCCATGCAATTTACAGCTTCTAAAAAAATATATGGAGGGTCAGTTAAGAGTAAATTCCAAATTGATGGCACATGATTCTGTGTGTGTATACATGTATGTCTGTATATACATGTATATGTATGCATACGCATATGCATATATATTTAAAAAGTAATAGCTCAATCTCAAGGAGCTCTAGTACCCTAGTGGTAAGGAGTTGCACTGTCAAAGCAAAAGAATGTGGTTCATATTCACCCGGGGATCAGCAGGAGAAAAGATGGGCAATTGTCTCTCTTGTGACTTACAGCCTCTGACAAGCTGCTAGAGCTATCAGCCAATTCCAACTCCATGCATGGTACATAAAAGAAAAACAATAACAGCGTATACAGGTATACTCTAAACAATATTCAAATGGCATTACAAACCATAATGTGTATGAGACTTTGGAAATAAGTCCACTGACTAAACACAAAATGTGTTTCATTCATACAATTGTTATATCCTTACATGCTGTCAAGTTGGACCCTCCAGCAGGTTTTCATAATTTATAAATCACATGGGAGAACGCTCGTCTTTGTCCTGAGGAGCATTTAACAGATTCAAACTGAGTGTCTTCCGGTTAACAGGGCAACTCCTTATTCACCAGGCCAGCAGGTGATAAAGCCTAATAATTTAAACACCTAATGGAGTCGTCTACGACTCCATGGCATTAAACAACAATAACAATGATGACGACCAAGAGAGAGCTACGTTGGCCTAGTGGAAGGAAGCTGTGCTACCAAGCCGAAGGTGGGTGACTGTCATCTGTGGCCCTCGGCCAGGTTCAAATTGTCTTCCTGTCAAACATTCTTCTAGGTGGTATAGCACTGGTCTGTGCGTTGCTGTACAGAGGTAACTCATGGTTGCTGTGATGCTGAAGCCTGTGACAGTGATGTGCCAATCGTGGTAATGGGCACCCATGGTGGACAGTGTTGGCTGGAGCTTCCCGACTAAATCAAGCCTGGAAGCAGGAGCGGCATCCACTTCCAAAATGGCTTGCCTCTGGAAACTCTATGTACGATCAGTGCTCAGGCTGTTCGTTCATAGGGTCGCTATGAGTCGTCTACAACTCGATGGCATTAAACAACAACAAAGGCATTAGGCCTAGCAGCAGAGCGCCATGCTCCTAACCTAAAGGTGGCGCTTCTCTCTTAGCTCCACAAGAGAAAAATGAGCAATCTCCTCCCGAGCGATTTACTACCTCTGAAAATATGCTGAAGAATGAGCTGAGTCAGTTCCAACTCAATGACAATGAGAATATAAGTAAAAAACTGAATTCTTATAACTTTTTAACTTTTAAAAAGTGACAAGGAGGGGATTTTTTACGTTAAAGACTAAAAAAAAACCCTAGATATCTTGAATTCTCTTTTCATTAACTCCACAGAAATATCAAGATTATGAGTAGGGAGTTTCCCATCCCAGAGCCAGTAAGTTCTAGAATGTGAGGGCCCACTTTACCTGATGGCTTCCATAAGCGGGTTTAACGAGACTTTTTAACAATATGATCTTATACGGAATGTTCTAAGTTCACTTAGAGGGGTCAGTACAAATCTCCTGGCCTTTCACGTGCCTGCCCTAGGAAAAGTAATGCTGGCTTCTAGCTGTTCGACTCTGCCAGGTTTTTAAAAATGTAAGATAAGGTAAGCCGACTTGAAGGCACCGAAAGGCAGGGAACCGGCAGACTCGGGTTTCACGCTTGCAGCTCGGCCATGGACCAGAGAGAAGCATCATCAGAGCGATGCGGGGCAAGAGTCCAGGGTGCCCGCTTTCCCCAGGCGACCAGACGGGAGGCAGGCGGCGTGCCGGCACTGAGGGAGGCGGGTACCAGGGCGCGCAGGGCGGCACGGAGAGTGGGGCTGCAGCGCGGGCGCAGAAAGGCGGCTGTCAGTGTGAGGCCAGCATCCTCCCCGGGCTTGGCAGAGAACTCAGGCCTCCTCGGCTTCTACGTGGCCCCGTTACCGACGACGAGAGGCAGACGCGCGGAGCTTAGAGAGCACAGGCGCGGCTGCGCCCGCAGAGTCCCCCAGGACGCAGCTCCCGGGGCGCGGTGCGGCGCAGGGGCGCTGGCAGCCGAGGGCGGCGCCCCCGCCACCCCACCCATCCACGGCCGCCTGCCCGCGTGGCCCCTAACCGTGGGCTGTGACCCCGGCGTGCCAGAGTGGAAGCAGATGCGGCGGCGTTGCCCGGTTCCCGGCTCCGCCGCCCCGGCGATCCGGGAGATAAAAGTTTGCAGCATGCGGCTCGTCTGCAGTGCGAGTCACATCCGCCGCGCCGCCTCCTGCCGCACCAGCGCTCACAGAGCGAACAAATAAATTGGGGGGGGTGGGGGGACTGTCGAAGCCAGTAGGCCCCGAAGCCGGCCGCTCGGCCTCCCGGGTGAGCATGCAAACGAGCCCAGCATCCCGCGCCCCCGGTCGTCCCCAGCCGCGACTCCCGCCCGGCCTCCGCGCCCGGCCTGGGCCGGCCCCTCCGCACTGACCGATAACCTCCTGCAGCTCGTATGCGTCCCTGCAGATGGGCCAGCCGAGCGCCTGCGCTGCCGGGGCTGGGGCTGGGGCCGCGGGCGCCGCCGGAGCCGGCGCTACTGTCGCGGTCGCCGCCGGGGCTGGAGCTGCCGCCGCTGTCACCGGGGCCGCCGGCTGGGGCTGCTGGACGTGCACGGGAGAGCCGCTTGGCTCCGCCATGATGCTGCCAGAAGAGATGGAAGAACGCGCCGGCCAGCGAACGACCTTCCACTTGAAACTTCCCTTCCCTCGTCGCCGACACCTCTCGACCGGCGCACGCCCTCCCTGCCGTCGC